TTTAAGATTTTATTGGGGAATTGGGGGAGGGGAACAGACAAGTTGCTGTCCTTTTGTTCTTCAGTCTAGTTGTGGAGGACGTCGCTTCACTGACCCATTGTTGGTATTATAATTGCTCTCTTCCCGGGTGAGGCAGATCGGTCTCTGGCCACTGGATGGCCACTTATGGTGGCTCACAGCAGCTCACGCTGGCTGCCAGCCACTCAAGGTAGCTTATGGCAGCCCCACTGCAGCCTACATGTCGCTGGCGACTCATGGCAACCCAGCTCCAGGTTGAGCTGCTGTTCACCATCTTAGCTGTAGAGGGCAGTGTCACTGGCCCTCATGTGGGATCTGAACTGTGGCCCTGCTGCTCAGAGCTAGCGCTCCCAAGCCAATTCTTAACCAACGAGCCACTTGGCCAGCTCAAAAGTGGGATCCTTCTAAAGCATATAGTGAAGTCTTTCACTGAGACTCCTCTAATTTCCTCACTATTCCCAGTTTGCTCAATATCTGCAATGTCTGTTGAGAACTAGTCTAAACGTAATTAAACAAAAGTGAGAGAGCATGCCTTTTTCTAAGCACTCTTAAATTCATAATGATTTCATACCAGCCCCTTTAGATCCTTGGAATTATTTTTCCTGGATGCTGTTATTCTACTACGTGGTTTTTGTCACGTAGCCACTTTCCTATTGGTGGGTACCTAAGTGTTGTTTCCAGGGTTTTGCTGTTAAAACAGTACCACATTTACCACACAATTGTGGTGTAAGGAAAGAAAGTCTTGGAATTTATGGTAATGGAATTTAAACTATTGCATTTTGCTTTGGATACTTTATTTTAAAATGAGCTCTTCTGATTACAAAGTAATGTTTATTATAGAAAATTTAAAGTATACTGAAATATATCAAGAAAAATTACGTACTTGGAACCCCACCCACCACTTAGAAATATGTGAGTACATTTTTTTCTAGTCTTTTAAAATGGATTTGTTGAGGGCCGGCCGAGTGGCACGTTGGTTAAGAGCTGGCTTGGGACACCAGAGGGCCCCTGTTCGGATCCCACATATGAGGGCCAGTGACACTGCCCTCTACAGCTAAGATGCTGAACAACAGCTCAACCTGGAGCTGGGCTGCCATGAGNGGGGTCGCTTCCCGGCGCGGCCTCGCCTTCGCCGCCGGAGACCCCCCTCAGGCGCCCCGTCCCCCGGGACCCCGCCGCCCGCCCGCCGCTCTCAGGACCCGGGCTCCTCCCAGATGGGATAAGCTGTGAAGATGTTTAGTTTTGAAGGGGATTTCAAAACGAGGCCCAAGGTGTCCCTCGGAGGCGCGAGCAGGAAGGTAAGAGCGGCCTGCGCGTCCGGGCGTCTGGACCCCCGGCGGGCGGGGTCCCGGGGGCGGGCGGGGGCCGGCCGCGGTGTCACCTGCTCCCCGTGGGGGAGCAGGTGCGGAAGGGGGGCCGGTGACGGCCGGCCCCGGGTCGCCCCGCGAGCGTGCGGAGGGCGGGCGGCCTTTCCGCTCCGCCGGCGCGAGCGCGGCATCCTCGGCCACACTTGACGGGGGGCGCCGCCGGCCCGCGGACGCTCCGCGCCGCGGGGGGTTCCCGTCGCAGGACGTAAACAGGGCGTGTTTGTGTTTGTCCGCGGCGGAAACGGAGGCGGCGCCGCCGAGGGGCCGCGTGTGCGGCCACGAGCCGGGAAAGCCACCCCTGACTGGCCTTCTGGACGCGCTGCTGGCGAGAACGAACCGGGCCTTTTCCTTCCTGCCGCGATCAGCCACATAATTATTCTGAGCGTCGCTGCTTAGGATGAGGCGGGACGAGCGCCGTGTCTCTGCACTCGCGGCGCGCCCGGAGCCCACGGCCCTTCCCGGGGCGCCGTGACCCCCCCACAGGCGGCGCTGCGTGGCGTGGCCCGGCCCGCGGGGCTGAGCCCGCTCTCCGCCAAGGGACGCGCCTCTTCTCTGGGGAAACGGGCTGTCGCTGGACCGGACGCTCAAGGGGAGAGTGCGCATCTTGCTTTTTATTGCACAGAACCGTTTTTTCTCCTTGTTCTTGAGATGCAGACTTAACACACAGCCAGCGTCACAAACCTTGCGTGTACGTGCTTACTCGGGGGCCTGAGGACGTCCTCGTGGGGTGGGCCTGCGGGGGCGGGGCGGGGGCGCTGGAGCCCCTCCCCGCGGGGGCTCTGCAGCCGTCGCGGAGCTGCGCTGGGTGGAGCCGAGGGGCTGACGTTGGCGCCCCCCGTGGCGCTCGTCGGCTGCAGGCTGCCCGCTGGGCGACGGTGGGGGTGCGACCTGCTGGCCCCTCAGCGGAGGGCTAGTCCCCTGAGAAGGTGGCCCGTGGGCGGGGGCAGCGTCCCGGGGAAGGGGTGTGGGCGGGACTGCAGGTAGGCGCGGCGGGAAGGCGTTTGCTGGCGAGCAGACCGTGACCCCCGCTCAGTCCCTGCGCGCTCGGGCCCCTCCGGCCCCCCTCCCTCCCGTCCTCCCCCAGAGACGACTCCCGTTCCATCTGGAACCGCGCGTTAGTTTTGCCTGTTGGACGTCTGTGCGCGGGTCGCACACAGTTTGTCTCTCTTTCCCCATCTGGCTGCTTTGGCCCCCACCCCGTCTGAGGTGCACCCACCGTCTTGTGTGAACACGCCGCAGGGATCGTTCCGCTTTTATGGGCATTTGTCATGTATGTCTCGGCAGGCGTGTGCACTCATGCTGGGCCCTACGTGACACGGGGGCGCCAGTGCACACGGCCAGTCTCCCCGCGGCGTGCCTGCAGCGGCTCGGCTTTCTTGTCAACACTTAGTACTGTCAGCCCGTCATTTTGGCAGTTCCAGTGGGGATGTAGTTTCGCTGCAGTTTTTATTTTGCTTCTTGACAACTGTGTTGTTGAACAGCTAGCTACTTACATTTATCTTCCTAAATTCTCATTGGCTGTAGCTTAGGCCTTTCCCTCAATTAAAAAGCAAAAAGTTATAATGACCTCCATCTTTTAAATTATTTGAAATCTTCCCTTCTTTCTTGAGCTTAGTGGAAAACTGAATAGTGCCTCCTTTTGAATAAATACATCTTTTTTTTCTCAAAATAAGTGAATATATTTAGTGTTTATTTCTGAAAAGGCTGTGTAGGATCTGAAACTGAAGGGAAAGTCCTCTCTTCATTATTGTCTTGTTGGGGAGATGCCACTTAAACAACCAAGTTAAATAACAGTAGAGAGTAATTACTACGTCTGATTTCCCTGAGCTGATCCAGGAAAGGTTGGAGTTGGTTGGGGCTGAGTCTTGAAGGACCCGGGGAATTAGGGAGGTGAGAAGCAGGAAGGGTGTCCCAGCACCTGGAAGGGTGTACGTGGAGAAAGTGTGTACTGGATCCCATGACTCTGAGTCACAGGTTCCTACTTTTTAATATTTCTGAAGTCAGGATACATCATGATGGCATAGTTCATTGACATCCCCCCCCCCCCTTCTTCGTAGTGCATAGAAGGATACCTTAGAGGTCATTTGGTTACAAGTATAGGAATCCACTGAAACTGGCTTAGTAACAACAACAACCAAAAAAAGGTAAGTGAAGGATAAGATGGTATCTCCCAGAATGGAAGGACAGAAACATCCGGATGGCAAGTCACCAGCACCAAGGTGGTTACTGGCTTTCTCCCTGGGCTGTGCCATCGCCTTCATTCTCGGCTCTCTGCAGACTGGCCTTCTTTCACCTGCACGTGACCTTGGTGGTGTGTGGTTTCTTAGTTCAGGTGTCCGGCTGAGATCGTTGGATCTCAGTTCCAGTTCTCAGGAGGGGACTCTGGCCTGGGTGGGGTTGGGGTCCTTGCTGCAGCCACAGACAGGGCATGTCGGGTGTGAGGGCTGCGGTGGTTGCTGAATGGAGTGCCTGGGATCCTGTGGCCCCGGGTGGGGATGTCCAACAGGCTGTTGGCTGCACATGTATGGACTCCGGGGTTGGCAGCAGATAGGTGACTTAGACTGAAGTCGCCTCTGGAGGAGGCATGGCGTTTAGGACAGGTGGAACATGTGGGGGATCGCAGCATTTTGTCAGTGAGGTGACTCCTGAGGAGCCGGGGGTGAGGGAGTGACCACAGTCCAAGTGCTGCAGGGATGCAGTGAGTAGAGACTCACAACAGGAAGACCTTGGTGACATTAGAGGGAGCGCGTCCCAGGGCTGTCAGAGCAGCACACTGAGAAGGACCAGAGGGAAGGAGATTCAACCGGGGTCTGAGGAAGGTTTTTTTTTTTTTGGATGGGAGAAACTGAGCAAGTTTAGGGGAGGGAGGCTTGCAGGCTTTCAGAGTCCTGGACGAGGCAAGAGTGGGAAGAATCAGGTGTGAGCAAAAGAGGGGAAGTGTTTGAGATTTAAAGGAAAGAAATGGATGTGGATACAGAAATTTTTTTTTTTAGCTGAGCCATCCCGCCACCTGTTGGCAGCTCACGGCTGCTCAGCTCGGGCTGACTCGAACCGCTGTTGCTCAGAGCTCAAACTCTTGA